ACATTTTTACTTTCATCTTAAAAAGAATGAAACCAGTTGTGTTGACTCTTTGGGAAGATTTCGCAATGAATCAAGGCTGGGATATAACATCCCTTTTAGAGAGTGGGCGACACCCAATAATTTTGGGTAAAAGGGTGACCGTTACTCCCTTCAATGGTAATGTTTATTTATCCAAAAGGTCAAGAAACGTAGTAGAAAATTTATTTTTTAGTAGATGAGTTCCACCACGTTAAAATTTAAACACAACACACTAACAAAAAATTTTACTGTACATATATACTTGGCTGGAGAGTCAATTTCACAATATTCACCTTGGTAAGAAATTTTCCTATTTATTAACCTCTTTCATGTCCTATTTGGTGACAGGGCTCATGCCGAGTCTTGTTTGTTGGCTGGAGCTTGGCGGTGCTTTCAACAAAATGGAAATTTCAACACCTCCACCGATCAACAAAATGGAAAATTCACCATGTACCGGTATTTTTTTTCCTCTTTTTGTCGGATAACTCCCAAAAAAATTGGCTTAATATGAACTGCTGCACTCTAATCAAAACCACACTATTACAAATAGGTGCTTAAGGCCACGTGACATTCAAATTCCACTAAACCGGCTATATTTACCATGTGAAATGCCACAGACAATGGTTGGTCTTCATTCTTAAAGCCTGTTAATGTCATATTCATTGCTTTTGTACTTATTCACAATTTTTAAACATGGGAATAGCTTAGTGCACCCCTGCAATTGGTTGTTGGGTTAGGTTCTGGGTAGGGATTTTGTTTCTTACTTTGGGGCTTGGACCTGATTTTGGGTTATGTTTTGGGTTAGGTTCTAGGTTGACTTTTAACTTTAGTGTTTGACAATCAAATTTGCGTTAGGTTTGCTGGTGCAATCCGTTGGATTTTAATTTTTAGGTCAGACTCTTGGTCGTGTTTTGAGTTAAGGCAATTGCGTTTTACAGTCTTGTTTTTTGTTGTGGCTCTAAATACTATCAAAATGCTGTGGTTCTAAATACTATCCACCTCAGATCTCCAGATTCTAGGCGTTGCGTATCAGATGTGCAGATTTCTCGGTATGATTAAAACATCTTCTCTGATTCCTCGTCTTGTATATATGGATCCTTTTCTTAATAATCCCCTGCCAATTATTTCAGCATGTACGTTGGGCTATTTATATTCGATTTTGGGAGATGGGATGAGACACCATCTCCAAGATACCTCCTAGGTATAATCTTATGAGTTCTTTGGCGTGTTCTTCTCTTTGTTGTTTGTTTCTATTACTGAAAGAAGGGTCATTTTTCACCTACAGGTAGGGCTGAACCTGCAACAGTTTGGAAAATTATTCTTCAGGTAATTTAAATTCCATTTATTCAAGAGTGTGATGGATCCAAAATTTTTCACCCCAAGTCCATGCCCCTTATCCTGCCCCGTACTTCCACCCCTCCCAACAATGTTTCCATTAAACTCAGCCGCAGGCACTGTCACTCAATATCCTCCTAGCCAGCAACCTACTTTAACTAATGGAGAAAGTAAAATCATGATCCAAACCCAGCTCTGATGTACCAAAGCCTAAAATGCGGATCTAAACCCAAAACCCACTCCCAAAAAAA